TATTTCAAAGGAATTATCCTAATGAACCCTATTACTATTCAGAAAATACTTTAAAATATGCTAAATGCTAGAATTTTAAGTTTAGTGGTAATTGCTCTAATGAAGCCTGGAACTAATTATCATTCGGAACAAATCGACGATATGAAACGGAAAGAAGAAGAAATGTTAGCGATGTAACATCTAGTCGAACCGAAAGCGATTACGCGGAAGTTGATTGACAAACAATCGTTAGTAGTTAGAACGTTAGAGCGACAGACTTGAACGTAGCTGGTGTGTATTACGGTCTCGTTTTCTCTACGACTGTGTACGAATAACATACTTGCACAGATTGCCTTCGATATCAATGATTACCGGTGTATGTGTGGCGAAGAAAGTGAAACGCGGCGCGCGTTCATTGGAAATTCAGACCCTAACAAGGTGAACGAAACGTGTGTGCCACATTTCTTACGTCGGTTAGAAAACGATATTAGAAACTCAAAATATTCGAACAGGCGCCAGACAATTTGACAATTGATCGGATTTCGTGAAATCGTACATTTCTAACTCTCCCAATGTGATAAGTTTCATTTGAAAAATGATGTCAAAGTTCTATCAAGATTTCTGATTACTCCTTGATTGAATATAACAGAGTCAATATCATAATTATTGATCAGATTTGATAAAAAGTTTTTGAAGGTGTACAGCTCTTTTAAGATCCAACTTGGCGATTGCTCGCTTGTAAGGTGTTTCGTTTCAATAGAATCTGGTTTCGTTATTTATCATTGTAGGGGCTTCTGAATTTGTAATTGAGAGGGTACGAAAATGAAACAGTCTCAGTAGATAATCGTTCACCGAACGTGTTCATAAGCATGTACGGAAGATATTGTTCCGCGAATGTAAATACGAGAATCAGTCATTGATACATGCTCGGCACACAGCGATTTATAAATAATAATCGTGAGCTTAATGGAACGAGGGGGTCGAGTAAACACCGCTGATAACCCCTTATCTGGGAAACTATACCCTCGCGTGGTGAACAGTAGCCATTTGTGTCATTTCATCACTCTGCTGATTGCGTTAATGGAATGAAAACGTAACTCGATATAGGTAGATACCCTTTCGTCCAGGTTTCTATTACTGTGAAACTGGTGTCATTTTTTATGCTTTAGTTTTTAATGCAATATAATTTTTATAAGTCCAACCTTCCTGAAGCTTCACTGAAATAATTAACAATCTTTTCCAAGTTTTACATTACAAGGCTTCTTATGACCGTGACTTCTTCGTTTAAATCAGCAAGCGAGCTATCAATGAATTAATTTATTCGTAGTCATTCTATTGTTGAGTATACAATGTATAAATTTGAAAATCAAAGCACAAATCGAATTCAGTCTTCGATGAAGCTTACATATTCGCAACACTATTAATATAAAACGGTCGAATCGGAAATGACGTGGCGCTAACGTATCCGTTTTTGCGAAACCGTCGTGTCACCGGATATGTACATAGGAGTAGAACGTCCGTCTCTGCTTCGAATTTCATTCAGAATTATTGTTAATTTGCATTTAAAAATTGATGCGAAATTCAATCAGAAACCATTCTCCAGTTCGTTACATCAACGTTATTCAAATACAACTACGTGCATCATCAAGAAAAATCGATTATATCATCCAATCATATTTTACTATCGTCTATTATCATTGTTAGACTATGTGTAGACTGTCATAATTCAATTTGTTTAATTATCACGATATCCTCGCATGGATTTTAATCTGTTTCCAATCTACATACATATTGTACTTGTTTACAATTCATTATAAAATGCAGTTCACTAAGGGATTTCTATTGAATCAGAGTTTCATGAAATTTATAATAATAATTTATAATAATTATTGGTATACTGTTAGGTATAGTTTGTAAAAAGACGTGGTTTTCTGGAGACTGAGGCTACCTAAGTACTCGTTCCTATAATCATGTAATTAATTTGGTTTCAATCTCACGGCCATTGAAAAATTATTTTCAAATACCCTATTTTCAGTAAACTTTAAAAAAATTTGCAGTCTCTGATCATCAAATCTTTCACACAACGTAACGTATGTAAAATTGAAATACACGTTTGA